GTTTGCAGACAGAAACAAAAGTTTATTAAAACCTAAAAAAAAACTTATAGATGGAAAAGAGATAGAAATGCATATATATTTGAAAATTTCGTTTTACCATATTACGAAAAGAATATTTTACCAAAATATTCTTATAAAGAACCATTCACAAGAAAAGAACTTATTGACGAACTTTCTTTTTGGAATATTGACATAGAAACATTTAATATTGAAATTTGCGTTCCAATATTGGCTAATAAAATTGAAACATTATTTTATATTTTACAAGATATAGAAAAAAAAATAACTCTATTTATTAATAAGTTCAATTATTACTTCTGGATTGATGGTGTAAGTGAGTGGGCAGCTGATGGAGGACATCATTGGAGGACTAATTTATTTAAACCATCTGAATATGATGGACTTATATTTAATATAATGGAATATTATGGTGATAAAATATGTAAAAAAATCGAAAATATTTTTAAAGATTTAGATTGTGAAGTTAAATTAAGTAGAGAATATAGAATTAAAACTTCTTCTTCATCTTTTAAGACTGCATGTTTTATTTTAAGTATAAAAATTAACCGTGATATTTTAAAATCCGAAGTTATAAAAAAACTTGGATCTGATTATCTTTAGAAATATTTTTATTAAATTCAATTTTTTATTTTAAATATTTGTTTATTGAATAAGAAATAATAATTTACATAAAAAAATTAATTTTTCGTGTTTTTTAAAAAATAGTTCAAAATAAATTCTTATTAACTCAACCTTTTCTACTGATAATTGTAATCATCGACTAAGTTCGACAAGGTCGCAACTGTTATTTAGAGGGATGCATAATTAAAAAAAAAATAAAAAATTCGAAATTTTCGATTATCTGTGATTTTTTGTGTTTTAATAAATAAAAATAATGAATTATACATATATAATAGAGCATTACGGGTTTGTATTCTCGTGATTTAATATGAAATTCTCAATATACAACTTTTAACACGGAGATAAAAAATGCGTAACAACTTAATGGACTTCTGTTTCCTAGTATATTACATCAGATGCTGTAGTAATAACCCTTTTACACTCAAACTTGCAACGACAGTTAATTTGCTACTATATCTCTAACTGCTAAGGAAAGTGATAATAAAAAGGCTATCCCTAATCTCTAATATCTAATATCTACAAATTTTTTTTTCAAACATCACATCCTTTCTTTAAATGTTAAATTATTCAAGAAAACAAAAATAAAAACCTTATTTTAGATAGATGAATTGACTCTCGAAGGTCACTTTCTAACTTCAATCCCGGTAACCAATCCCTCACCTAACCTTTCGATTTCTAAAACTACTGCTTTGGTATTCAATATTATATTTTGATCTCGTATATTATTGTTATTATTCGTCTACAAACGCAGAAAATAAATAAATAGTTATTAGATGAACATCCCTCAAAAGCAATTTGTAATAAAAGTAATACTTACATCATATCCACTGCCTTTTCGATCTTTAAGGTCTTCAATTTTCGACACCAAAATGCCATTTATTTCTGAGCTAGCTTTCCATGGTCTGGGAGTAAAGTTTGTCGGTATCCAAACAACTCCAATAATTGTTCCACCGTGCTTATCATGAAAGAATAAAGCTACATCAGAATATAATTTCTATAAAAAAATGAAATAAGCATTATCATCAGCAAAAGTGATATATCGTAAAGATTCAAGTAAAATCAGAAAATAAATAAATAAATAAATATTACCCTCAGTTCATCTAAATAATATTCTACAGGATCAAATCCGATCATTGCAACCATTTTCTCGTTTTTTAAATTTTCTTCATGGTCTTGATTATCATTACATTCATCGATATTGTAGATCTTTAAAGGAGATATGTTCTTCTTATCACGCGATAAGTATTGTGTATCAACAAAAATATTTTGATAGTATCTTGTGCATTGACTTGGATCTAAATGTATAATCACGTTATAATCTGAAAGTGGTGTTGCAAAGAGCCTCTATCACATAAAATTTCGTAAAGGCAAAAGTAAAAAAATAAGCCAGTTAACGCAATAATATAAATTTTATCACGAGAAATCAATAATAATACATACCTTGAACTCCCTATTTTCCCCTTTCTCTATTAATTCATCGGCATACAAAAGCGCAGATCTGGCCAACTCTTTTATTCTATTGGCGACAACTTTACTAGGTTTCTCAATCCCCCAAACATTTCCGCTAGTAGTGCCTATGAACATTAATCCATGCTTGCAACTTTCATCCGATGCCCTTAAATTCTTAAATCTTTGTTTAATATCTTCGATTTTATTTTCGTTTGTACTATTTTTTAAAGAATTTTTGGTTTCTTCACTTAAATCCACAATCATTGCCTCGTTATTCCAATCCCAAGAAGTTATCAATTTTAAAACTCGAATAAACCCTACAAATCCACTACCAGGTCTATTCCAAGGGCATGGTTCTAAATAAACTTGTGAAGACAGACATTCAATCCATTCTTCTTCAACATGATCACTCAACATATGTGTGCTAAACCATCGTTTTGTAAGTCTAATAGCCAATGACAAACTTGGCCACTTGTTGCAAAGTGTCTGAATTTGTAAAGTATGCATTGGAAGTTCCACAAACATCCGTTTCTCTATTTCTAAAGCTTTCGTATACGTATCTTTTTTAAGTATACTAGATTTTTTATCATTAATTCCACGATCCAACAATGTTATTTCTCGTTCATTATAAATTCTACATCTGAACACGAATCTTGAATCAGAAATTACATCCATATATGCTTCTGAAATGATCATATCGCTATTATCTGCTACTACCGTAGTACAAGTTTCTGGGAATTGAAGTTCTAATTGTGATGCAAGTCGTATATAAAATGCGATTTTCATTTTTTGTATGGCCACAAGATCATCAGGCCATCTTGCAGAATGTTCAAATTGAATTATAATTTCAATTGGATCTATATAATGCGATATTTTCGTAGTTGTGAGAGTAAGTGGTTGAGGAACAAATATTGAAGTATATCTTAATGTTGGACTTGCAGCTCGAATACCAGAAAATCTTAAAGGAATATTTTCTAATGCCATAAATTGTTTAACTAATTTATCGTATGCTTGCATTACATCTCGGAATCCATTTGTAATTCCATTTTTATTATAAATAGTTTTTGGAAGATTTGTTGAAGGTATAACAATATCATTTAATTGCCCTGTAAAATATTGAATTCCTTTATCTTTTATACCATAATGGAGATTAAATAGGTATTGGACTATTCGACTAACAATAAGACTGCGTTCTTCAATTCCTTTAACATTCCAAACCACACATTCTAGTATACTACCATCCTTAAATCTTCGTACTTCTGCTTTTTTTCCCCACAATTTTCGAAACTGTGAAGCTGCTGTTTCATCTTCAGGTGATGGTCCATAATCTATTAATCGATTTGATTGTTCAGGATTAAAAATAAAACCAATGTAGAGTTTTAAATTTGAGGATGAATATGATGGTGGCTCTGAGGAAGTTGACCATGTTGGAAGTTGTGCGTAATTTATCGTTATTAAGTTGACGCGATTAGTTAGACCTTGTTTGAGTTGTATAGGAATTGTTCTTGCGAAATGTATAAATGGATCATTGTAGTCTAACTTCTCCGAGTTCGTATAGTTAAAATAAGAGGTTGGTATTTGTGTTATTCTATATTATAAAAAAATCAGATAATCGATAATGAGTTATATATTAGTTTTTATCAAAAAAATAATAATAATAAATAATAACAAAACTTGCTTTGCAACGTTATCATATCTTAATTTAATATTATTCACTTTTTGTAAAAATAATGCTTCAAATCTATCCGTTTTATTTTCATTAAAATATTCCATTGCAATCCTGGCTTCATGTTGTATCTGCAGACATCAAAAGATGAAGAGTCCATATAGATTGCATAAGGAATTCTTATATATTAGCTCAAACCAGTCGTAATAATTATTGAAAAGGCTGAATATAATTTACTTGTTCAAGGGCAGTTTTTGTCATTCCACATAGCAAATTTAATTTTCCGGAATTATCAACAAATACAACGTCAAAGTTTTCTTTAAAAGACTTCTCTGAAAACTATATAATTTGGATTAATAAGCAACGATTCAGATGAAAAGAAATTTTTAAATTTGAAGCAGAAAATATACTTCTTCAGATTCATCCAATTTATTCATAAATAAGGGATTTCGGATAAAATCATGGTTTGCTATAAACAATTAGCGAATAGCAAATAACAATAATATAAGTATAAAATTCAATGAACCAGGGAAACCTCTATATAATAAGATATCCACTCACCCAAGAAATCCATAGTTCCCTTAACCAACTGATAAGAGCTATATCCATTAGCTAATTTCTTTCCTCCGTTTACACCGCCGTCATGTAATAAATAGCACATCAGCATCTTCCATACAAATCCATTGAACCCACTCCATCCGTCTTCATCACCGCCTATGCCTCTTTGATGAAGCCACACCTTTGCAAGCTTACATGCATCGTTAAATGCAGGACATTCTTTTGAATTTTTATATAACTGGTTTAGATGAGCAACACAATACATGTCTCTTAATATAGCGGAATTGTATTGCGGTGTTGGTGGAAGTGAGTCTACGGATTGTTGTTGTTGAGAAATTTGACCTAAATCCTGAAAATGTTGAGGACGAATATTATTTCGGGATGGTGAGAGACGTTGAGTTGAAAATAGATCCATTGGAATGCAAGGTAATATTCGGATGGTAAAATTAAGTGCAGAAAAATCTGGATCAGAATTATCTGTATTGAATTTATAACACTAATTAAAATAATGTCCGATACAGGTAAGCAAGGTTATATTTTTTAATTTATCTTACTTTTAAGTGGTTTAAGTATTATAATAGGACGACGCCTATCCCCAAAAAAAGTGCCAAATTCTACGCTGACATTCAATGCCAGGCCCTTGTCTTGTAAAGTAGCAGACAATACTGCAAGATAATATGCGCGCTTATAAAAATAACGGTAATTCATATAATCTTTTTCTTGAAATATAGACTAATTGATTGTTCCGCAAAAATAAGACACAATATTAAATGCATGTCCGGAAATGGTAGTAACTTTTTATAATTTGAGTAAGATACATTACCTTCGGCATAATGACCACTACATCCACATTAAACCCATCACGGCTGCGTATAACACTTTTTAACGGATAACTACCAACCAAATAAAATGCTGTCGGTTTTTTAAATCCAAATTTGTATTTTACATCATCAGAAGGTTGTGGGTCGGGAAATGGAATGGTTATATCATGCTTTTTCAATAGCATAGATTTTGCATCTATGATCTATAAAAATTCAGAATACACATCAAGTTAATTGTTAATTTTTAATTTTCATAATTAGAATAAAAGTAATATGACTTACCGAAAGGTCAGGTTGGTCATTAATATTTTCAAATATTTCTTTTAATTTATGTAATATATTTTCTAAACTTGTAGTTTTAGAAAAATCGATACTAACTTCTGATAAAAGTTCATCGATCTAAAAAAATACAATTTTAATATTTCCTTTTGATTACTGTAAAAATAAAATAAAATAAATAATTCATTACTTGAAGTTTAAATAGATTAGACTTGTACAAGTCTGTTGTCTCTTTTAATCCTTGAATTTCTTCATTTGTAGGTGGTTTATAAATTGAAGAAAAATTTTCTAGTTTTTCATCTCCTTTATGCGCATCCCCTTTATGCACACTTTTGTCATCTTCGTTTCCTACATTTGATGGTTCAACTATCAAATTATTAGAAGTATTGAGTTGAACATCTTGCATTTGATCATCATCGCTTTCATGATCTTCCAAGTAATCATCTTGATCAATTTCATCTTCTGAATATTCCATTTTTTTTTTTTTTTACTTTTTCAAAGATTAGATGATTAAATTATTAATTATCGTTATCGTTATTTATCGATATATATATGAAAAAAAAAATTTTTCGTAATACACTCGTGTAACAAGCAAGCAGGTGATCGATTATATAAACCATATTGGTCAATAATTTTTAATGTTCACACATACACATACATACATACATACATACATACATACATACATATATACGTAATCGCGGGAACCAATTTAACTTTCAAACCAATTTTTCCCACACTAAAAAGAAACTGTTCAAAAAAATGTCTCAAGAAATTGATTATGATAATATTAACCTTGACGAAATTGATTTTGATAAAATTGATTATTCAGATACCGATTTTTTACGACCATTAATTCAAAAATCTCCTTTACCTGCTTTAACAATATTTCCTATTGAAATTTGGACACAAATAGTTTCTTACGTTAATGATATTCAAACTTTAAAAAGTTTAATTTTAACATGTACAATATTAAGAGAAATTTTAAAAGAACCATTAATGACTCAAATGGTTAAATGTGAACCATTAAATAAATTATTTGAATTGACCGAAGAATGTATGAGAAAAGAAAAAAATGATGATAAAGAAAATCAAAAAATAGATATTAAAGAAATTATTTTTAAGATGCATAAATATGTTGATAAAGTTGTATATAGTGAAAGTGAACCATCTAAATGGACTGATGATATATTTGAATGGGATGGGTATAATGAAAAGTTGGATTTTTCTACTAACCAAGAAGCATTTAGACGTGAAGTTGGACGTAGAGGAAAAGCTAGAGCTAAAGCTTATATTGAATGGGAATTGAAGGTTGAAAATGAAAAGAAAATTTTGAAAAGAGAGTTAGCTAAATGTTGGGCAGTCTCTGGAAAGATGTTTCCATTTAGGTACGGATATTAATTATAATATCTCCATTTAAACATACATAAATAAAATTCATTATTAACATAAATTTTTTTTATATAAAAGTCATGCAGAAAATCGAGAATGGAAAAGAAGACGTCAAGAGAGGTCAACTTCTGATCAAGATAGCTCATTAATGCCAAAGGAAAATAAAGCACCTCGCCAACCAAAACAACATCAGCAAAGTACGAAAACTTGTGGTGTTTCCAAAAATAGTCCACAACCAAGACTTTCCAAACAAAAACACCATGAAAAAGAAAATGCTCAAACTAGCGGCTCATGGAAGTTTTCACATGAAATACGTAATCAAAGTAAGCCTAAAAGACCGAATATTGGCAAAGGTGAAGAGGAATATAATAAAAAAATTCTAACGGCACATGTTACACCGACGCACTTTAATAATGGAGCATCTTTTGAAGGGTTGCCACACGATGTGTTGACCAATGTCATGCTTAAAATGTTAAAAAGATTCTATGGAAGCAATGAAAGGGTATTGAAGTTTCCTAGTGATTTAAGTGGATATCAGAGGAAGCAGTTGCATCGTCAAGCTGAATTGCTGGGAGGATTGAAAACTATTAGTTTTGGTGAAGGTGCTGGGAGATTTTTAGTCGTTATGCGAGAAGACGTTGAAATTATGGAATAATATTTATTGCTGTCGTGTGTATATGCACTTAAGTATTAAGTGCATTTTCTTTTTTTAAACGATTTCCAAATCGTATAGACTGTAAATTTTATATTTCTTTTTGTATTTAATGAAAATATTTAAACCGTAAAAAAATTTTTTTTTTGTGTATACCTTTTTGATCAATGAGACTAGCTCAAGATGTGAAAGCATGACCAAATATTCAAAAAATTATAGGATGCTAAAAGTTTTGTTCGGTCCTCTACGGGGATGAAACATAGTACAGCTGATATCTACACTATAGAAGTCTCAATCGTTTTAATCAATCAATTGAAATGGATCGGGGAGCAATTTTAATTGCCGCATAGTCGCGAAATAACGCGTCCCTGCGCGTTATTTTGAAGTAAAAGGCCAAAATTTTGAGCCTAATGCACATATATCAAGTCCACCAGTGTCTGAAATTGGGTTGCGGAGCTTGTGGACTGCAAATGAATTATAACTTTCTGCAACTGCAGTTCCACAAATAAATTTTGTGAATTTGCATATAGAAACGTTCGAATTTGCATATAGATATGTTCATGTGCGCAACTAATCCACAAGTAGATTTTTTATTTAGTTGCGGGCCCACAACTAAATTAAAAATTGAATTTCAGACGCTGAAGTCCACTAACATACGTTTAATACAAGGTGAGCTTATTTCGGGACGCGCATAGGCGTTATTTCGAGCCGAAAATGCAATGGTTTTTAAAGGGTACAATTTCCAAAATAACGTGCATGAGCTTTATTTCGCGACTTTACGGTAGTACAAAACGGATCACGAAGTTACATAATTGAATGAAAAAAAATTAATTAGAGTAAGATTATTTAACTGATCAAGTGCATTTATCACTTCGGTTAACAAGAATAGAAACCTAGATACAGTCAGACCTCTCTAAGTGCACCCTCTATGAGTATACTACTTTTGGGATTTGGGATTTGTCCATGGACAAACCTGGACAAATGGGATTGTCCGGTCAACCATGTGGTAAAACCGGACAAATCCCAATCCCAAGTTAAAAAATCCCAATCCCAAGTTAAAAAATCCCAAACTCCATCCCATGTCCTAAATTTCAAATCTCATTATTGTTATTCTGGTAATGATATATCAAGAGCCTATACGTACTATATATACATATCTTGCACGATATAACGATTCTACCTCATCTGCAATGTGATTTCACACAATTTGTACAGAATAAATATCATAATGTTCTATTATTGCGCTTTGCAAAAAAGTGTGACCCTGTGATTTCACAGTGATGACGGCAGAAAAATTTCTGAGATTTTAATTCCCTATTGATCATAATTTTCAATCAATAACGTCTATATTTTATCCAAATCTTTAAAATTCGAAAAATTCGAAAAATCCACTAGAATCGGCTGATTTCTCGTGATTTTACATGACATCATGATCTGCAGAGGTTACACATTTTGCACGATATTATGTGATATCAGTATGTTAAATATACATTAGGTTTATCTTGCACAAGGTATATCCTAGCATAAAATTTGGATTGAGATTTTAGATTCGAAAACTTGAGATTTGGTATGGGATTTGAGATGGAATTGGGATTTGGCCAGTGTTTGGGATTATGACAGCCCAAATAGGGTTTGTCCGGTTTGGGATTTGGATATTCCACATGAGATCTGGGTTTGGGTGGGATTTTAAAGATTTGTAGTTTGTGCGGCATATATATCTATGAGTGCGCACCCCCTCTTTTTTTTTCTTCGCGAGTTACGCGTAGGGATGTTAATGGAGTGCTCCGGGGTGGTGTGGTGTATACTTTGCAAAGTATTCCTTAACACCACACCACACTGGAGTATAGTCTTATGAAGCAAACTCTGTAGTATTACTCCGAAGTATTAAGTAGAATATAACTCAGAGTATTAAGTCAGAGTATACTTTGGAGTATAACTTAGAGTATAACCCAGAAGTATAACCCAGAGTATTATGATTAACGATGCGTAATTAATACTTATTTTATAACTATGTTCTTCAATGGAGCATCACCTCAAGCCAAACTCGAATTGGCATTTATTAAATTTCTTTGCTTTTGTTAATCAATATGCATTTCAGGTCCCAAGTTATATGCTTGGATCATGTTTTTCACTGCTACCAGGTCATGTTACCTCCTTCACAACGTACAGTACGTACATACGTAATATATGTAATAAATACGTAATTTAAAAGTATAATAAATATATAGTTTGAATAATAAATAACGTTCCGAATATCATTTCAAACATATGTAATAAATACGTAATTTAAAAGTATAACTGATAATTAATAATTTTTTGCACTATTTAAAAACTAATAAATAGTATACATAAAACTACATACGTACAATAAAGCTCTTAAAAATAGCTTTGCCGATTCCATTTTGCTCATGTAGTGTAAATATTGTAATTTTTGTATTTGTAATATTTTTTGTAAAGTAAATTATTTTAGCATTTAAATTTAAGTTTACAACGCTAGTTCTGATATATTATAACTCCGGAGTATAACCCATTTTATTACTCCAGAGTACTTACTTCGATTAATAGTATCTTAATAATTCAGGGTGGTGTAATGTCTAAACCACACCAGCATGGAGTGGGGTATACTTTGGGGTTACTCTGGAGTACATTACTCCATTAACATCTCTAGAACTACTTCTAAACGACAAGTGCCATGCCAGTGGTGAGTGATAAACTCTGAGGAAGTTAGCAGGTAGTATATGAGAACTACCTCTAAATAACAACTACCGACTTATAGCTAATAGCGTGCCTCTGTTTTTTACTAAGCGCTATTGTGTTTTTTACAAAAAATATGTTTAGATTTTTGGTACAGATGATCATCAGAAAGAGTTGCTGTCAATCATATATTAAAATAAAGTTAGTACTTGGATAATTTAAATTTATATAAATTATCTTTGAATTCTATGATAAAGTTGTTATACACACATAATGAATAAAAAAAAAAGTAAATTTCAAAGATTATAGTTCATACTAGGGTTGAGAAAAATCCTGGTGAATTTAGAGTCAATAATGATATTTTGTTCTGTAATTTTTGCAATCACTTTATTGATTAGAAATAAAAATCAACAGTTATTGATTATCTTAATAGTAAAAGCCACAAATCAAAGAAAGCTGCCAGCAAAAATAAACTACATCAACAGACTATCGCTACATATCTTTTATTTTCTGAATTCAAAAAACTTTTTGTAACAAATCTAATTAAATCTTTTATAACAGCTGATATTCCTATAAAAAAAATTGATTCTTTGCATTTTTTTAAAAAAAAATATTGTAAAAAAAGTGAAGCTATTCCACAATTATTTACATTATGCTAATTATACATTTTTCAAGTTTTTAATAATCACTTTAAAGATCTTAAATCTCTTTTTAACCAAAAACATGTAGCATTTATGATAGATGAAACAACAGATAGCTGCTCACGAAGTGTAGTAAATATAATATTTATATATAGAAATAATACAAAATTAGTTTCTGTTAATTTTATTACCAAAGTTAATAATTGTATTATGAGTCAGACTCTTTTTTCAAATCCTTTTGAATTATAATATTCTATTTATATTTTTTTGGTTTTTTTATCAGATTCAGTCATATATATGAAAAAATGCTACCAAGAAGTTTTGTTTACTGTAATGCCTCAACTAGTTCATATACCTTGTTGTGTCTACATTTTAAATTTAATCGAGTAAAAAAAATTATTTTTATTAATAAAATCATTACATATTATAATTATAATATAATATTATTTTTTATACTATAGTAATATGTGGTGTACATTTACTCATTTTTTCAAAGTTAATACACTAATGACTAAAATTAAGAATACATTTTTATGAAGTCCAGCATATTGTCATCGATATTTAAATTATTTACAGTTTCACAGCATTAATTCACCAAGAAAAATTTCACTTCTTGTTATAACTAGATAGAATTCTTGGTTTGAGATGATTTCATATACAAAGAATCATATTATTTATTGGTCTGTATTTTTTCAAGATGAATTAAGCATTGATAAAACTGATGTATTAAATATTATTACATTATTATTATCTAATCCTAAAGATCTTGGCCTTATTATGATTTATATTAACTTTATTGGTATTTTTTCACAAAAATTTATTCAAATATTAGATTTTTTTTAGCAAAAGAAGCCCATGTTTTCTCTAGTTAAAAACCAGCTTGAGCAACTTACCACCTATATTGAAACTAACATAAATGCAAAATACTTTGGCTTAGATTTGGATATATTAATTTTGTCAAAATCTTTTTGGCTAGCCAATTTTTATTCTATTTTTTGTAATACCTTTAATATAATATATTAAAAATTTGCTATCTATATTTCTTCTCATCCTAGTCAATCATTGTTTTCCGCATATCAAATATTTGATTTTAAATTTTTTTATCTTGATAATATTGCAAGAAAGAATATTCCATTATATTAGAATTGGCCAATATATCAAATGAACTATTGCATAAATGGTCAATTTATTGTAGATTAATATATGATACAGTTTTTAAGAAAATTATATTAGACGAATTTTGGTCAAATATGGCTAATAATTTGCCTCAACTATCAAAAATTGCATTTGATTATATTTGGTTACCGGTTTTATCTTGTGCAGTAGAAAAAAGTTTCTTAAAATACAATACAATTTTAAATACTAATCAGTAAAGTTTGAATGAAGAATCATTACAAAGTTTAAACATGCTATATATATATATATATATTTTTTGATATTAAGATGACCTTCATTGGCCTGGGGAACTTTTTATTAAAGTATAGATGAAGTTTTATATATAATTACAACAATGGTATATCAAGCCACATGTGCACCTTTTGAGTGCCTAATTTAAGTAGTCTATCCAAAGGTTCTACACTATTTGCTCTACCTGCACTTCAACTAGGGGGTACTCATTTAAACTATCTAGTTCTAACTACCTCCATCGGCCCTCTAACCTGGAGGGTTTCCTTACTAAACTAAGTAGATATTGATATCACCCCACATTGGCTTTCGCACCCTGCCTTAGAACTTACTAACTCATATAGGCCTAGTCTATCCTCAAGGTAAATCTAACACAGCGGTACATGTCCCACATATGTATTTACATGCTTGTTTCTATAACTTCTTCCTAATTAGTGCATATTGATCTGCCGTTCCGTATTCGTATCTCACGCCACCTTTTGGGGTGCTGCTATTCTACAAACATTTTTTAAGCACCAACCTTTCTAATTAGGCGCTCTATTACATACTTCTTGCCCTTGTTTTGGTTTCTAGCAACCCCAGTATACCGCATTTAGACCGTTTTTTTACCTGAATTCTTTATTGGTCTCTCACTTACTTCTAGCCAGCAACCCGGAAGGGTCAGTCTGCCCAGGCTTTAGGTGCCTGAAGGATGCCCTTCTCTTAGTTCATACTTTCGGAGTGTATGTTCTTTTCCTCTGGTGTGACAACCTGGTGGTTCAGCTGGTATGTTCTCCACTATTAGGACCTGGTTGCTCAGTTTTCCGATCTCAGGCCCCAGTTCGAATTCAGCTTTCCTGTAGTACTGTCATAGATTACTACTTCCTTCAAACTTGGGACTTACCAAACAGGTTTTTGGTTATTCTGATTCTCTGGATTTATTGCACCGAAGCTTCTATAACTAGATAGTGTGACCAAGGTTACAGATTAATTTAAATCCAACCGATAGAACGTCATCAACCATACACAGGCCTATTTTTCAAAATCATCATCAGTGAGATTCGAACTCTAGACCTGCCGCTTGAAGAGGGTGACAACTAAACCACTACACTAAGTCACCACACCTCTACATGCTATATTTTAATAATTCAGTAATTAATTAAATAACCATAATATTTAAAAAAATTTATTAAATTTTTTTTTTATCGATTTTTATCAATTTTTTTTATATATTATTGATTTTTTTATTTTATCTTGTTTTATTTAATGTTTTTTGATTTTGTATATATATTTTTATACTTTTATTGGATGTTCTATAAAATAGATGGGCAAATACCGCAAACTCCACAATTCTGCTAAATATCTATTAATAATTACTAATCATTAGTGAAGTTTATTTTCTATATTGCCCACCTATTCTATAGAATATCCCTTTTATTAGTAAATTTGTAAATAAAATAATATTGCAGAATTAATAAAGTTACTATGGAAATCATGCAGAATTTACAAAATTAACTTGTAGAATTGATAAAGTTATCACAAAAATTTTGCAGAATTTACAAAATTGACTTGCAGAATATATAAATTAGCACAGATAGAATTAATCCAATAGTGCTGCAGAAAATCACTAGCTCTAAATATATGGGACTATTGTAATAGAAAGGATCCAAACTCTCTAAAAATCAAACTTGAGCTTTTTCAAAATTTTGATTAATTTGAGGTGGGCTATACTTTTCAATTAAAAATGAAAATTGGTTTGCATAGTAAAAATCAAGATATTTTTAAAAAAACTTTTAAAATACTTGTACGTCATAAGATTATCTGATATAACCAGCCAATCAAATCACATAATTTTAATTAACTCGAATTAGGCCAAAAAAGTAAACACGATTTTCTCAAAATTATATATTTCCAAGTTTTGGCTCTTTTTACTACAACAGTCCTATATTATATTATATATTTATCAGGTTTTTGTAGATTAATTAACAAAGCCTAAACCTAACTTAATATTTTACTAGATTTAACTCAAGCCCAACTCAATTTATAGTACAGTAAAACCTCCCTAAGTATACATTTAATAAGTGCATACTTTATATAAATTCTCTCTAAATATATTGCATAGTTTAGCCCCAACTTATAAAAATATTATATATTTTGTTCTCTATAAATACACACACTCTTTAAATACACATTTTGCTTTTTTTTTACTATAATCCCAAGAGAAGTATACTTAGAAAGGCCTTACTATAGGCCTAAAATTTAAACCTAATCTAGACTTAAATCCAATCTAACCTACAAAATTTTAGATCAAGCCTAACTTTATAAATCATATTGTCTAAAAGAGTTTGTTTGTTTGGCTTTAAGTGCCAATAGTCTACTAACCTCTAGTCTATACTTCCAAAATATATATTCTTTTTTTTCAATGTGGCTTTGGCAACTATATAACTCCACTTCAAGAGCCTTTACTCAAATAGCTTGTTAGTTCTGTTTTTATTTTTAGTCTATTCTGTAGCACTGTCAAAGATCTTGTACTACTCTTTAATTTAGAACTTTGGGTGGGCTCTATCAATACAGGATGTGAATTTATATATAATTGGATTGGGCCTATTACAGATTTCTAGAATTTACACGTAAGTACTTATTTTGAGTTTGCACTAACTCTAGAACTGGCTTGCATTTCTTCATAACATGAATGCCTAGACTCCCAAATCTAGTTGGTGATACTGAGAGACACACTATAATAAGATACCTTTTTAAGTCAACAATATTAATATCTAAATAAAAAATTCTAATATAATTACTTACAAATCTACTTAATATAAAATTAATATTATTTTAAACTATAATTGTCTATAGCATAGCAGAGGACTCTCTGTTTTTATAACAACAAGTGATTAATTAGTATCACTTGATTTTGTTTATTTGGCACTTCTGCACTTATGATTTGCTAAATATGCTATATAATCTACATTACACTATGATCACTTTTTTTGCACAATACCAATTTTAGTTGAATATTTATATAATAGACATTAACTATAGCTGCTGCAACAAATTTGGACTGGTAGATTCTTGATTTTGATTGGCTAAGAGCAACAATAAAAAAATTAGGCTAGAAATACTCATAATTTTACTAATAAAATTATAACCGTCTATTAAGTGAAAATTGTTCCTGGGCCAATTTTACTATAATGCGGGCTTATTTTTTATGAATTTCTATTTTTGTAATGAAAAAATTAAAAAGTTAATTCTGGCCGGAAATTAGTAACCAATTTTGTAATGTGGGCCAAAATTTCAAAGATCCTCAGCCGTTAGCCAATCAAAATTGAGGATATGCCGGTCCAAATTTGTTGCGACAGCTATAATAGACAATGCTGCGCATTTCCTAGTTATATTTTATTCTTGTTTTTCTGATTGATACTAAAATAAAATACTTTAATTATTTTTTTTATACAAAGTCAGTAACCAATTTACAATTAATAAAATAAATTATAATTTGTAAACCTTTTCTTTTTCTACCCCAAGCATCTTTATAAATTTTTTGGCATTGTGACTAAAATAAAAAAATAGGTTATAATATAAGCATGCAATAATGCACATGGGTGTTATTTTGAAACTTCAATTTTTTTAAAAAATGGCATATTTGACTCAAAATAATGCCAATGTGCATTTCAAAATAACACGCCCATATGTACCAGATTATCTTTCATATGCTATTTTGAATCTTCGAATAAATTTACATTACAGTGCATTTGCGAAATTAAGCAAACAATTTGTCACCAAATTCAAGCATTTGGATCCCCAAATTAAATTTAAGTTACCGAATTATATCAATGTTAAACCTCGAAAAAAATTTTTGAACCCCTGATCTGTACTGATAACGCATCCAACCCATGCTAACCCATTTTCTCACTCCTCGACGCATCCCATTAGATATGAGAATTTATTAAATGATGTATCATAACTTGATTATCTCGGTTAAAACCTATATTTACGTATTAGTAGTTAAATTTTTTAAATTTTGGGGTATTTCGTAAATGCGCCGTAATGAAATATAATAAGAGTTCAACCTCTAAATTTAATATCATATTAAATATAACTAACAATATATCTAGAATTTATTCGCCTTATATGGTCTTTATCTTAAAAATAACTAAGTATCTCTTTCTAGTTCTATTATGATGTCTCAAGAAAATTCACAAATTTGTATAATGTTTCGAATTATCGTGCATGCACGTCCTGAAATAACGTGCCCCTACGCGTTATTACACGATTATACGGAGTATCAGTTGGTATTAATTTTGATCAATTTTTTTTTTTTTTTTTATGAGATTCATGCCCACAGATGATGACAAGACACACAAGTATCATACCTAGTATAGGATAAACCCATACCGGGCGACAAATCTCCTGCACTGTACCCTTTGATGCTTACAGTGCCAGCATTCTGTAAGCTAAGATATACACTTAATTTTTGTTTGCACACACCCAGATACAGACAGCAACATAGGCCTATGTTGTTTTTTCACCACTCTCTTATATGTAGTATTTCATCATTTTTTTCCAGAGAAGATATTTAATTATGCTTTATTACATACTTTGGGTATAGCATCAAATTACGTTTATTTCTTGAACTGTTTCTATTACATAATTCTATACCTTCCTCAATTTCAGGAAGATATTGAGTCTCTGCTACTTTAATATTAGCCTTACGAGACTACTTCTAAAATTCTTGATTTTAAAACTCAAAGTCGCTAGTTTAATTGTATAATTTATTTATTTACTTTTTTTTAACTTTATTGCTCGCATATTACAGAATTAAAGTATAAATTTGAAGTGAAGAAATGAAAAAAATTCATTATACATGCAAAAATATTTTATTAAGCTTACATTAGATTTCATAAAACTTTTCTTCAGCTCATACTCTTAACAATTTTACAAATAACTTATCGCAACAGCCATATTTGACTATTATATTCGACAACACAACTTTATATGAATTCTTTAATGTTTGTAAAACAATTATCATAATAAAATAGATATGACAAATAAAAAAAATTAAACAACTAGAATATAGAAAGTGTTTGTTCTTTTGTATTAATTTTGTTTTTTATTTACTGTAAGAGTTTCTAGTACGAAGAGCAGCATAATAATTTTTTGGTAGGCAATGGCCTTGTTGAAAGTCCAAATTAAAAAATAATAAATAAGAGAACGTGTTTGAACAATCTCTGATTACTCTATCAATGCTAGTGCTAGTGTTCCAAATAATCAGGATCCGACGGATTCGGATTATCATTCAATCTGAATCGTAAAATCGGGTTGGGCCAAAAGTTTCGGATTACCCGGATTAAGCCTAATTTGAGATTTAGGTCCAGATCTTTCTTTCATATTGCACTAATATATAAATTCCAAGTCGACCATGTTAAAATATTTAGCCATTAAATACTTCGGATTGACTCCGGATTCAAACCTAAATTTCGGATTCAGTCGGTTTCGGTTCAATCCCGGATCAAACCGAGTTTTTCAACCCGAATCGAAACACTAGTACTAGAGTTAGTATAAATATAAATTAAGTTTATCTTATAATAAATTTAAGAAATTAAAAAACTAGAACTATTTAAAGTTTCAAATAAAAAGTTAGCTGGGTTTTAATAATACTAACCATAAAAACTAGATCTAAAAATAAACTATATAAAACAAATAAACTAAATAAAAACAAATTAGAAAAAAGATTAATATACTAACCAAATTACTAGGTTTTATTATTACCAAAGAAATAAAAATATAGTTTAGTATTATATACTAAAAACATTGCGCAGGCATATTTTACAAACTCATTGAACATCGATAATGGTTTAATACTAATTAATATATTTATTATCAAATTTTATATGCACATATTCCTTGTAAAGTTTGGTACTCGACGTTTTCTAACAACAATATTGGTATTTTCTCGACAATTTGGTTACGTCTCGCCAAAATGACATTTATTTGCAAGCCATATTTCGACAATGCAAATTGTATTATTGCGTTTGCAAAATTGTGAAATTTGCAGATCAGAAAAAAAAAAAAGAAATCAATGATTTCTGATTTCTTTAACATTATTTCTGATGACGTATGCATATCTACTAAGATTATATGTTTATTTAGTCTACATATTTTTAAAAACTCTTTACTAATGGCCAAAAATTATTATTCCGGAAAATGCTTTGGATGCACAAAATGTCTTTTTTGTACAAGCTCTAAAACTTATTGTAGCCAGTGCTGTTCCTAGACATATTGTCCATGGACATATATACTGTTTATGCTCATGCCCATGTCCAAGAACGACACTGTATATATTTCCAACAAAAAAAATTATACTAAAGTTCCTTATTCAATTTCATGATTCTTTCAGTAATAAACAAATTAATTTTATAGAATCATGTAATAATTCTTATAAGATTAATTTGGTACAATTTTTAATTTTCTTCTTGTTCATCGGGCTAAAAAGAAACAAAATTTAATAATACACAATCAAATTCTTTACAAAATGATGAATGTACAGATTGCATTTCTGCGAAAAAATGTTAAAGAAATCGGCAGAAATTATCGATTTCTATTTTTTTTTTTTGATCTGCAAATTTCACATAATTTGCAAACCGCAATATAGTAAGTTTTAGATTTCTAGAGTTATAGAGATCAAATTGTAAGTCAAATGATTTTATTTAAGCAAAATATGCTTTTAGAAATTTAGGCAATCAAATAACGTACGTACAGAGTCTTAACTGTCGATAAAATTGACTCTCTTTAGATGCATCTTTTAAGTTAATCACATTTAATTCAGTCTTTGCTTTCACCCAAGTCCATGAGAACATAAAATAGCTATTTTCTAAACGCAAATCTTTTACTTACAAATTTTATAATATATTTAAGAACAACTACATGTAATATTGTTATTTGTAGTGATTTGAACCGAGAAAATTTCTTTAATCGGTTAACCGAACCGAATTATTTTATTCAACCGGTTGTCAATCGGTTGAGATTAACTATCTCTACGTATTCCTTTATCCGTCGAATT